TGTTCTATTTTTCTAATTTAATTTAATAATCGTCGTTTATTTTTTATGTTTTTTTATATAATATATAAATAAATAATTTAATATAATAAACAATAAAAATTAATCACAATTACAATCAAATATAAAAACATACAATTTTATAAAATTGTTAATGATAAAATTATCTAAGCTTTTTCAATACTATCATATATAAAAACAAATAAAATATTATATAATTAACACTTTCATTATTCAAAACTTTTTTAAGAAGAAAAACAAGTAATAAAAAAATTGTCCAAATCATTGTTATTCCAAAACCCCTTTCTAACCAAACCAGCCAATAGTCAGTTTTATTTTACTTAAAATAATTTACAAATGAGAAATCAATTAACTAAGATTGATCAAAAATAATCTTTTTGGATAAAATTTCATATCGCTTTATCGTGTTTCAACATTTAATATAAAAACGCTACATCGTCAATCCACTTTATGACAAACAATGTCAAATAGTCACATTAACAAATATAACGACTATATAAACACTAATCTCGTAATAATCTAATGACAAAATACTTTTTATATTAAAAACAATCAAAAATATCAAACCTTTATTGAACCCCATCTTTCTTTCTTTCTTATGCTTTGTTCTTCTTTGACACAAATAAATTCAATATAGCGTTAAAAAGCGAATAATGTAGTTAATTCACAAAACATAATTCAGCTCATTCACGTTAAGTGTGACTAAGAAATATACAATTCAAATTTGAGTTGATAAAAAAAATAAATAAAAAAATACAAAAATTTGTTTTGTGTATTAAGGCAAAAAAGGGTTTCCGTAAAAGAAACAAATAAAAACTTATTATTATTACGTTTCTGTTCTGAACTGTTAAAACAATTCTAAGGATTTTAACAATATAATATAATATAATATAATCAAATTATAGTAAAATATAACATTTAAAGTCAGTCTGGAAACCTTATTTATTCCAAAAACCTTATTTATTTTTTTACCTTCGAAAAAAAGCATTTTTGGGATGTTTAATAAATATTACTATTATTTAAACTATTTTCCAATAACAAAACCAAAAACATAAATGGGGTTAAAGTCATTTAGCTAATCATTTCATTTTTTCTATTTGTCAATAAATGGCAATAATTTGGTTATTTTTTCGTTAAATTACGGGATAATAACGTAAACAAACCGAGTTTATTGGAATTGTTTTTTTAAAGAGTGTTGCCTTTGGGAATGAGCATTTTTCAACACTTCTACTCTCAACCCTCAAAGAGCGAATAATTTGTTCATGATGTATTTCGGATGGATGGTCAGATTTATATTTTTCAATTTCCGATTGGGTATAATATAAGTGACCAACAGTAATAGAAGAACTTGGAACGACTTCACAAACACAAAGAGGATTCTTTTTATCACGGGTATCTTTAATAACACGAGGAATAATTCCAGAAGCAATAAATGCTCTAGAGATGTTAAATCTTGTTGTTGTCTTTTGCCAAGATGTCAACACAGATAGTATTTGTTTACTCATAGTTGAACTGTTTAAGAGAACGGACTCGACGAGGGCTTCTTGTCCATGTAATTCTCTTTTTTGATTTCCGAAAATTGAAACATCTAACACCTGTAAAAGATGACTTGTATGTGGAGGTTCTAACACTATTTTCACTCCAGCTTTGCTCAACTTCTGCACAGCAAGTACATCAATATGTGAGCCATATCCATCCAATAGCAATGCAGCTTCACCATTGTAATTTGATAATGTTCTTTTGGAACTGAGTTCTGGGAGGAACACACAATCCAACCATTTATGAAATATTTGTGTGTTTAAAAAGGCGGTTTCTGAGTATTCAAACAGAACCTGATTAAACCATCCAAACGTGAACAACTCAACATCTATTGTTGAACGAGGAATTACAATCATTGGTTTTGAGTAACTCCCATCCATACAAATACTTGCTATGAGTGTAATTCTGTTTCCACAACGATCGATTGGAATTACACAATCATTTTTTGTTGCACTTTTCATTACAACAACCTTCCCATCTATTTTGTCCACCCACTTTTGAAAGCCACTTTCATCCATATTCCATATAAATTCACATGGAATACCATTCACTGACATTTTGAGTCGTTCAAACCAATTACGTATGACTTTCTCATCGACGTCAAGTCTGGAAGTTTCCATACAAACAGCGTTCGCGACTTTTATTCTTTCATCAGAATTAACATAGTAATACATTTTATGAAGTGGCACAAACATATTAAACTCTCTTTCAAGCAAACTTACCAAACCATAAAAATCAGTTGGTCTTTTTTTCTTCTGTTGTTCTTCGATGTATTCGACCATGCGATTCTTTTGTTTTTCTGTTAAGGAAGCGGGCCTTCCCGAATAACCCGGTTTGTTTGTGAAATAGAGAACTTGATTGCGAAGTACGACTTGTGAAATTGATGGAACGAGGGTGGAAATTGCTGAAAATGAATTAAGAATGGTATTGTCTTTGATGTAATTGTAGAAATGAAACAATTGGTGTCTCCTGTTAGGACTTGTAACATTCACAGAAGATGTCAAAAAGGAACGAACGCAATTTACAATAGTCTCCATTTCTTCTTTAAGTTGGTCTTCATTGGATGTTATTTTACAAAGTTGGATTTCTAATTTTTTGTTGTTTTCAAGTTTAAATTCGTTGGAGGGAAGACAACAAGCAATATTAATATCCATATTATGAGAACTATCTTTTTATAAATCCTTCGATTCATCTTTAGAACAAATGTCCACAGTTTGAATCTGGTTGTGTAGTTCTTCGAGTTTCCGAATTGTATCATTATTGTTAACCTCTTCAATTCCTGGCATTCCAACTACAAGATGCACGTTATTCATCATCTGAGTAAACCCAGATCTGGGGAAAGTCTTAATTTGTGTTGCAAATGCAGCAATATCTTCATATTTATCTAAAGCTATCATCATCTTTTCTCTGATGTCTTTAACACAATCGATTATTTTTGATCTTAGTCAATTGTTCCTGTATTTCTCTTGATGTGTCTACTACTTTACACAATAAAAGGTTTGCCTTATTGTTGTTATAAAGGGTGGCTTCTTTTTCTATTGTTATACTCAGTGTCTGAGCATAAATAACACAATCAGTTAATTTGTCCAAGTTCGTTTTCATTTAAAAATAATAGATCTGAAATTAAAAATATAAATTTGAAAAACAAAACCAAATAACAATAAAAAACCTATTTTTGTCGATAAATAAAGTTTTTGGAATAAATAAGGTTTCCAGACTGACTTTATTGTTATTAGTTAAACACATTTTTTATTATATCAAATATAAATGAAATTATTTAAAATATTTGTAAAACAAACAATATTTTT